AAAATGGCTAATAATGCCCAATTTGGACAGTTTCACTTAGGGGTGTTCTCACTTTTGTTGCCAGCAGTTTAGACATTAATGGCTGTGTGTTGAGTTATTTTGAGGGGACAGCAAATTTACACTTACACAAACTGTATACTCACTACTCTACATTGTAGCCAAGTGTCATTTCTTCAGGGTTGTCACATGAAAAGATAGAATATTTCCAAGATGTGAGGGGTGTACTCCTGTGATGTATTGTAGGTAACCATTCATTCCCCTCAAAGAAAAGAATCATTTCCTAAGTCCTAAGTGTTTCTTCCACCAGTACACAGGTTGGAAAGACATCATGATGCATAGCATAACGCAGCCTTGCTTAACCCGGCATCTTCCAGATGCTTTGGAGTGCCATTCCCATGTAGTGATTGAGCAAGTGATCTTGGAGTCATGGTGGATGGCTCAAGGCAAATGTCACCCTGGGGCTCAGCTCCTGCGAAGACAGCAGACTCCATGCTAGGTATGATAGGAGAAGAATAGAAAATAGAATAGCCAAAATCTTTGGTGCAACTGCACTTGGAATATCGTGTTCACTTCTAGTTGCCTTACCTGGAAGAGAGTATTAAGGTGGAAAAGGTGCAGAGAAGGGCAACAAAAACGATCAGGGGGCTGGAGCAGCTCCTCTATGAGGATTAGCTACAGCAACTGGGAGTGTTCTCCTTTGAAAAAAGTCAAGTAAGGAGAGACAAGAGAAGTATTTAAAATGATGCACGGTGTGGAGGAAGTAGAGAAGACGACATTTTTCTCCCTCTCTCTTAACACTCAAACCCAAAGTCACCCCATGAAGCTGCTTGGTGGGAAGTTTAGAAGAGATAAAAGTACTTCACACCAAATATAGTTAAACTATGGAATTTGCTGCCACAGGAAGTGGTGATGGCCGCCAATCTGAATGGCTTTAAAAAGGGACTGGGCAGATTCATGAGGGAGGAGGCTATCAGTCTATATTAGCCTTGCAAACAAGTTCTGCCTCCCTTCGCAAAGGCGGCGTGCCTGCATACAGCACTTGCTGAGGAGCCTGGCCAGGAGGAGGTCTTGCACCCATCCTGCTTGGGGAAGCCTGTGGGCAGCTGGTTTGCCACCATGCATACCGAGTGCTGGACCAGATGCACACTTGGCCTGATCCAGCATGGGTTTTCTTATGTTCCTCCTACTGCCAGCCCTCATCACCCCTGGTAAGGTATAATGGGAATTGCAAAGCAAAACATGGGACAGCCGGTTTAAAGAATTCTGTAGGTAGAATTCAGTAATTAGACATACTTGATTATTTTTAAAATCAAGATAAAATATTGTCTAGCTACCCTGCTTCAGTTGCCTACATTTTCTCACAGCTAATAGGCACTTAATACCTCTTAATGTCAAACAGAACACAAAAACTATGCGGAAGAACTGACAAACAACACTTTGAAGGCAAGAACCTTTGATATTGAAGGGAAAGCAATGTCTATGGTGAGATATATTTCAACAGAAGGTGCACTGAAAATTCCCCACTCCCAAAAAGGTGACAGAAGTTATTTAACAAGCTTGGATAGCAGCATAACATGGGTTCTATTAATACAAGTGAAGTGGAAGGCGGGGGTACTGAAATAAGGAACAATTTAAAGATGCACGTCGGGA